TTGAACCTCCAGCCTTCTGGTTAGCAGTCAAATGCTTTAGGCACTGTGCCACCAGAGCTCCTAGGTCACTGACTAGCACAGCAGAAAAAACACCTTCAGGGATTTTCTTCTACCCTCCTTTCCAGGCACATCCCTGGTATTTGTTAAACCTTGTAGTGTACAATCCTGCTATATAAATCTACTTGAAATTACCCAAATTCTCCATGTTCATTGGCTCCTCTGTGCCAGTACACAGAGATTTTAATACTGTTCAGTATTGGTCAAGTTCCCAGCAGGAAACAGATGGTCCATTCAAAAAAATTTAACCAAGGGCCTCTTTTCAAAAGTGTGGGCTGTGTTAAAAACAAAAACAACTCACTGCCATCAAATCGATTCTGACTTGTAGTGAACTGCTTTGAGTTTCCAAGATGGTAAATCTTTATGGAAGTAGATTGCCCAATCTTCCTTCCATGGAATGGCTGGTGGATTTGAACCACTAGCTTTCTGGTTAGCAGTCAAATGCTTTAGGCACTCCACCAACAGAACTCCTTAGGGCTGTGTTAAGGGAAATTAAAACTAGTTGCCACTGAGTTGATTCTGGCTCTGATGATCCCGTGAGTGTCAGAGTAGAACTGGGCTCCACGAGGTTTTCAGTGGCTGGATTTTTGCAAGTAGATCACCAAGTCTTTCTTCCATGGTGCTTTTGGGTGAATTTGAACCTCCAACCTTCAGTCAGCAGCCCAGCCCATTAACCATTTGTACCACCCAGGGACTCCTTAAGGGGAAGTAACAAGGAGATAAATCACCCGAGACTAGCAATAGTGGGGAGTCTTTGACATCACCAGGCCTGATGAGGCAACAAGAAAGAGCTTTCAATAGAACTCAGTGAAATCTACAGGGTTAAAGAAAGTGTCCTGTAAAGTTGTGCACTTCCGGAGAGGAAGAGAGTGATTCCCAACCACTGGCTGCTGTGAGGCAGAGTCAAATAAGCAGTGTGACTGCTCTCTTGCCTTCCATAGGCTGAACCCAAGTGGAAGCCAGAATCCAACCGAGCCTGATTGATGCATACACCATGGCTTCCAGGGAAACCTAGCCAATGTGAAAAGGTGCAGAAGGGATCTAAAAGGGTAAAATAAAGAATATCTAGCTAGTCTCCTCCCCCTTGAATGGACTCCTATGGAAATATTCTCTGACCAGCTGAGGCTGCCAAGTTTATCCCCTCTGCCCTTCCCTAGCTCCTTGAACATCCCTCTCTTAGAATTTAGAGCTTGTTCTCCATCATTTCTAGTGGAATCTCGTTAACAGGATGATGCTTTTGAGCTATAAGGGAATTTAGAATCATTTAGCCTAAGAGTCAGATCCTTACTTTGCCATTAACAATTCTTTCATCTGACAATTCATCCATCTGACAATCTTTGTCTTTTAATTGGTGTATTTAGACCATTTAAATTTAATGTAATTATCTCTGTACTAAGACTTAAGTCTTGCATTTCATTATGTGTTTTCTATTTCCTCTGTTCTTCATTGATCTGTTTCCACTTATGTGTCTGTGTGTTACTCATTATTTTTAACATTCCATTTTTATTTATCTATAGTGCTTTTGGCCATATCACTTCATATAGTTGTTGTAGTCATTGTACTAGGGATTATATATACTTAACTCTACACAGTGTACCATGTCAACATTATTCTGCTTATATAGAAACCTTACCACTAATTATGATAGTTAAATATTATCTCTACATATGTTAATAACTACTCAACGTTTTAATGTTTTGCTTTCAATTGTCCATCATCCTTTTAAAAACTCAAGAAAGGTCTCTTATCTTTACCCAGCTATTGTTGGGCAATCTGCTTTTGTGGTGATACCACCTCGGAAACCCAAAGAGGGGTCACTGTGAGTTGGGTCTGACTCAATGGCACATAACATTTGCCCTGTGTATTGCTCTATCTTCATCCTTGATGTTCCAACATTCCTTCTGATATCATTTCCTTTCTGTTCAGAACTTCCTTGTGATATCCTCCTCCCTAGCTAGACTTCACCTACATTTTCTGCCTCATTCTACTACATTTAGATTCCAGTGTCAGTGTTTTACACATTATGCAGGCAGGTCTTTGCTTCTGAGGGCCTCTCCACCTGGCACACACTATCTTCTCTTCTCCATCTATTTAATTGCTATTTTCCTTCTATACCCAATAAGAATTCTTCCATCCAAACACTCAGATTACCCCAGTTGGAATGTGTGGTGTATTGGTTGAATTGAATCCTAGATTGAAAAGAAAGTGTAGGGGGAGAGAGGACTGTGAACCTCATTTCCTGGGTCATATAATTATGGGCCCTGGGAACATGTCCTCCCAACGTTTCTTATTCCTTGGTGGCTCCCATTGCCTTAGTGAAGCTTTGTGGGTTTCGGGGGGATGTGGGTAGATGTACTTTATACCGTATCAGGGTATTTAGAAGACTGGAATACCACATTGACCACTGGGCCTGAATCACCACCCCCATGCTCTCTGTCTCCTAGCAACACTGCCCATGTACATAGGCCTCACAGGTGCTACCTACAATAGGCAAGTGCCCAGAATTTTTCACCACTTACTTCTCTGCTACATTCCCTGGTTAGAAACTGTCGTCCCAGCCTACTCATAGTTTGTACTCTCAGAAGCAGTAACCCCATACCTAGAGAAAGCTGGGAAATGACAGTGACACTTCAAAGCCCAGAATCTATCTGGTAAGCAAAAAGTTTGAGATGGCCAGATCCTCCAAAAGGGCTGGGCTGTCAGAGAGCTAACCAGTACAAATATGGGGAAATTGGAAAGAAAGCAAAGAAATGAAGAGCACACACAGCAGTGAAGGCAAGACAACCAAGGTTTATTAACATGATCCTAATTTTATTGAATAAACAAAAAAATCCAAACCAATTGCTGTTGAATTCATTCCAATTCAGGGAGACCCTATGTATTGCAGAAGAGAACCGTGCTCCATAGAGTTTTCAAGGCTGTGATATTTCAGAAATAGCTCACCAGGACCCTCTGGGTGGGGTTGAGCTGCCCATCTCTTGCTTAGCAGTCAAGCACTTAATGAATTGTCACCCAGGTGCTCCCTTTTCTTGTTGAATAACAACCAAAACCAAACTCACTGTCATAGAGTCAATTCCGACTCATAACGACCCCCACTGGGTTTGCGAGGCGGTAAATCTTTATGGGAGTAGATCGCCCCATCTTCCTCCTGCGGAGTAGCAGGTGGGTCTGAACCACTGACCTTCTGGTTAGCAGCCAAATGCTTTACCCACTATTCCACCAGAGCTTGTCTCTTGTCACAAAGAGAAAGCAAAAGAAATGCATGAAACTGGATTTCCTAGGAGAAATGGTGAAGCAAAACTATTATGCATTGGTTAGATTATTACTATCAAGATCATCCTCGTTGACTACTTCGAATTTAAACTATTCAGATTCAAAATTAAAAGGTAAAGCATGTTGCATGGAGCATTGATATTAAATAAAATAACCTCATCTTTAGAGATGTACAAAGAGGACTGACTTGAATAATAACTCTCATTTAGCATTGGGGAAGGATTCGTAAGTAAATCCCTTCACAGATGGGGAAACAATAGCGCCAGGTCTGACTGGTAGAGCAAGGGGACTTAGGGGGTTTCCATTGACTTCTAGCAGAGTGACCTCAGTGCTTTACATCCTCTTGTGTCAGTGCAGCAGGAAGCTCTCTGCCAACATTTGCCCGCTTTTCAGTCTCATCTGGGTTATTCCGTAGCCTCAGCTTTGATTCCAGCCTCTGCCTCCATTCTTCCCTGAGTCTGAGAAGAGAAAGAAAACACACACAGAGACTGAACCTTCATTTTATGACTGTTGGTCTGGAGAAGGAGTCCCTGAGTGAGGTGAACAGATCAGCACTTAACTACCAATCCAGAGGTTGGTAGTTTGAATCCACCCAGAGATGCCTCAGAAGAAATTCCTGCTGATATGCTTCTGAAATGATCACAGCCTTGAAAACCCTATGAAGCGCGGTTCTGCTCTGAAACACATGGGATCACCAGGAGTGGACTCCATGGCAACTGGTTTGGGTTTATTTTGTTTATTTGCTTGGTCCAGAGGACCTCTCCTCCTTTTTCTTAAGGTTGTTTGTGTTCAGGTTTTAAAAGATAAGCAGGGGACTTGCAAATTTAAATATACATGTATATGTAAGTGTGTATATATATGTGTATATGTATATAACCCAAAAACAAACCAAACCCACTCCCACTGAGTCATAGCAACCCCCATTGGGTTTCCAAGGCAGTAGTAAATCTTTACGGAAATAGATTGCCCCATCTTCCTTTCATGGAATGGCTGATGGATTTGAACCGCCAACCCTCTGGTTAGCAGTCAATTGCCTTAGTCGCTGTGCCATCAGAGATCCTATATGTATATGTATATGTATATGTATATGTATATGTATATTAGGAGCTCTGGTAGCATAGTGCCTAAGACACTTGACTGCTAACCAGAAGGCTGGCAGTTCAAACCCACCAGCCACTCCTCAGAAGGAAGATGGGGCAATCTACTTTCGTAGTGATACTGCCTCAGAAACCCAAGGAGGGGTCACTATGAGTTGGGTCCGACTCGACAGCACATAACAATGTATTTTTGACTCTTTATTCTGTCTCAATTGCTCTAGTCTTAATCCTCTAAACTTTCTTTTGGTGTGCAATAGCTTTAGAGTACTAATTAAAAAAAAAAAAAAACTTTTGACCTAGAATTCGTTATCCAGCAAAACTGTCTTTTAAAAACAGAGGTGAAATAAAGATATTTTGAGACATGAAAAAACATTTTTTAAAATAAAAGTAGTCACTAAGAGACCATCAGTACCAGATGTGTTAAAGGAAGTCCTTCAACCAGAAGGAAAATGACTCCAGATGGGTGTATGGGTCTATGCAATGGAGTGCAGAGCACCTGAGAAGGCAACTATGTGAGTGCATATTATTATTTTATTTTTCTTACTATTCAGATCTCTTTATAAGATAATCAGTTGTTAAAAGCAAAAATATTAATGATGCATTGTGGGATTTATAAGAAGCCCTGGTGGCACAGTGGCTAAGCACTTGGCTGCTAACCAAAAGGTCAGTGGTTCGAATCCACCAGCCGCTCCTCAGGAGAAAGAGGTGTCAGTCTACTTCCATAAAGATTTCAGCCTTGGAAACCCTATGGGGGCAGTTCCTTTGTGTCCTGTAGGTCACCATGAGTAGGAATCAACTTGATGGACAAGTTTTTTGTGTTTTTCTTTTAGCAGAATTTATAACCTATGTGGAAGTAAAACATGCTTAGCCCCAAAATTATCCTTTGTACAATAACACAAAGGCCTGAGAGGAGAAATGGTAATATACTGGTATTATATGGAAAGTATTAAAATATCACTTGAAGGTAGACTTATAAGTTAAGGAAGCATACTATAAATCCTAAAACAACTGATGAAATAGCACAAAAAGCTACAGCTAAAAAACTAACAAAGGAGACAAAAGCAAATCATTAAACAAAAAATAGTCATTTAATCCCAAAGGAGGCAGATAAAGAGGGAAAAGGGAACATGCAACAGACAAGACAAATAGAAGACAAATATGAGATGGTAGATTTAAACTCAGTCATACAATGAATTGTCTAATTGGATTTTCAAAAAAGTAATTACTCTCTTCCCTGAAAAAATAAGGAAAAAACAAAACAAAACATATATATGCTGTCTATAAGAAAAACCCCACTCCACTCCTCGGAAGGAAGGTTGGGCATTCCTACTTCCATAGTGATACTGCCTCAGAAACCCAAGGAGGGGTCGCTATGAGTCGGGGCCGACTCAATGGCACATAACAACAAGAAAAACCAAACCAAACCAAACCCACTGCCATTGAATCGATTCTGACTCATAGTGACCCTATGACAGAGTAGAATTGTCCCATAGGGTTTCCATGGCTGTAAATCTTTTTTTTTTTAACTTTTATTGTGGTGAAAACATACACAACAAGACATTCACCAACATAACAACTTCCCCATTTACAGTCAGGGACACTGATGACATTTTTCATGTTGTGCCACCATTATTGCTATCCTTTTCCAAAATATCCCACCACCATTAGCATGAACTCAATGCCCTGCAAACAAAAGCCTACCCTTTCCTCCCTCCCTCCTACCCCTGGTAACCACTAATAATCTTTGTAATAATCTTTGGTATGTGTATATATATATATATATATTTTTTTTTTAATTTTTAATTTTTCCCCCCAATCTATCTAGGAATTTAGCCTCCCCTCCCCTCCCATCCCTGGTAACCAACAAAGAAATTTGCTTCCATGTATAAACTTTTTCTTGACTTTTTACAATAGTGAACTAATTCAATATTTGTCCTTCTGTGATTGTCTTCTTTCACTCATATAATGTCCTCCAAATTCATCCATGTTATGCACTGTTTTGCAGATTCTACATTATTCTTTGTTGTTGTTGTTATGTGCTGTCGAGTCAGACCCGACTCATAGCGACCCCTCCTTGGGTTTCCGAGGCGGTATCACTACAGAAGTAGAATGCCCCATCTTCCTTCCGAGGAGTGGCTGGTGGGTTTGAACCGCCAGCCTTCTGGTTAGCAGTCAAATGCCTTAGCCACTAGGCTACCAGAGCTCCCCATTATTCTTTAGGGTTGCATAATATTATGCAACATTATTCTTTAGGGTTGCATAATATTCCATTATGTGTCTGTACCACAGTTTGTTTATCCATTCCTCATTTGATGAGCACTTAGGTTGTTTCCATCTCTTTGCTGTTGTGAACAGTGGTGTGATGAACATGGGTGTGCATATATCTACTTGTGTCCTGCCTCTCACTTCTTTTAGGATATATGCCTAATAATGGGATTTCTGGATCAAATGGTATTTCTATGTCCAACTTTTTAAGGAATCAAGACTGTAAATCTTTACCGACACAGCTTGCTTCATCTTTCTCCCTCAGAGTGGTTGGTGGGTTCAAATCACTGACCTTTTGGTTAGCAGCCCAATGCTTTAATCACAGTGCTCCTTGCCTCTAAGAAACTACTTTAAATAAGAAGACACAGATAGGTTAAGAGTAAAAAGATGGTAAAAGATACTCTATGCTAATATCAGACAAAGTAGATTTCACAGTGAAGAATATTACAGGAGAGATAAGGTTTCATAATAAAGGAGTTAATTCTATAAGAGGGTACAACAATCCTAAGACTTTATTAAACACCTAATAACAGAGCTTTAAAATAATTGAAGCAAAAAGTGATAGAACGGCAAGGTGAAAGAGACAAATCCACAGTTATAGTCAGAGATTTCAGTATCTACCTCTTAACACTGGATACAAGTAGACAAGAAACAAATTGATTTGTAATCCAAAATCAATACAAGTGGCACTTTTGCAGTCATTCTCAGGCATGTGCAGAACGGTGAAAAATTTGAGTCACCCAACACTCATGTTCCCAGCTGGGGTCAGTGCTGGAGGCAATGTTCTGCCTTTTTGTTTCCTTTCTCATATTGCAAACAAGCTTTTTTGCAGTCTATTTGTTGTTGTTATGTGCTGTCAAGTCGGACCGACTCATAGAGACCCCTCCTTGGATTTCTGAGGCAGTATCACTACAGAAGTAGATTGCCCCATCTTCCTTCGGAGGAGTGGCTGGTGGGTTTGAACCACCAGCCTTCTGGTCAAGTGCCTTAAGCACTACGCTACCAGTACCCTATTTTTTGGCTTTCTGTTGGTGATTTCGCTGTTTAAAACATGGTGCTAAAGTGCTGTCTCCTAAGCCCAAGAAGGCTGTCATGTGCCTTATGGAGAAAATACATATGTTAGATACTCTCCAATCAGGCATGAGTGACAGTGCTGTTGTCATGAGCTCAATGTTAATTAATCAACTATATGTATTAAATAATGTGTCTTTAAACAAAAGTGCACACAAAACAAGGTTATGTCTTGATCAATTCATGAAAATGTTGGGATTAGAGTCTCACAGGATCCTAACCCTGTACTTCTAGGAGCAGTAGATTCGGTTTTTGCTAATTCAGTGTTCATAGTCACTTTATAGAACATAACTCCCACGGATAATGAAAACTGACCATTTGTTAATGTTTTTTAACAAACTGCACAGTTTGATTGAGAGTCTGCTTTTTTAACCCCTTGGCTTGGAGGTTTTGGGTTTTGCACCTTCCTCAAGCAGGTTTTACTCCACCTGAGGCCTTTCTCATGCTCCCCCAGGTGAACACATGGGACAACACCCAGTGTACCACAGCATGCCTAGTGGCCTGAAGAAATGACAGACCATTCAACTCAGCCTCTCTGAGAACCCTCAGACTGGGCCCCTACCCCACCCCCAACACAACACTTCAGTAGATAGGACTGCCTACTTTTGCTTGTCAGTCACCCAGGGGTATAACTGACTGGGTGTCTCTATGTGGAGAAGGCTGGGCTCCCCTCTGAGGCTCAGGAGTGTGTTGGAAGGCAGCAGTGAGTTTAACGCCTGTGAATTAATGCATATTCTCTGCCCAACAACCATTGGACAGACAGTCTGGAGTCATGGTCCTGCCATCTGGCCAGTGCATACGTGCCAGGCCATCCCCTCACCATGTGCAAGCAGTGGTTTTAAAAGCAAACAGACAGCTGGCTGAGCTGTTTTTTTTGAGAGGACAGAAAACTCAGATGGGCCTGTCCCTCCTTGTGGCCCTAGGGTGGCTTCCTGCAGTAGGTTGGTGAGGCAGAGTGTGTGAGGGCAGTGAGCTGGCCCTGTTTTCCACAGTAAGTTTTGTTTCCTCTTAACAGACTTGGTTGGCCAAGGGTCCACGCCAGAAGGGAAGAGATTACTATCTGCCCTCCTCCAAGAACCATGCAGGGCATCCTCTGTCTTCACCCAAAGAAACGCTGACAATTGATAACTGTTTCCTTTGCTTGTTGCTTTTCACAGACACATCTGTTACACCAGATTTGGGGAGTAGGTCGTGGTGTGGGTGTTGGTGGAGTTGGTGATGGTAGAGGTGTTGTGGGTGGTAGAGATGTTGGTGTTGGTGTTGGAGGTGATGGAGGTGGTGGTGGTGGCAGAGGTATTGGTGGTTGTGGAGGTGATGATAAGATAGTGATAGTGGTGGTGGTGATGATGATGGTGGTAGAGGTGTTGGTGTTACTGGTAATGGTGGAGGTGATGAAGGTGGAAGAGGTGGTGGTGGTGGCAATGGTGGTGGTGGTATAGCCCTCATGTGCTAGAAATGTCAAGAGAGAGAAGAGAGGTGTTTGTAAAGATAAGAATTGTAAGATAAGAGTGTACATACACTTGTTACCTGAAAATAGTTTTTAAATTCACTGCTCACAACAATAGATGGTGGCAGAACTGTATGCACAGAAAATTTAAATAATATAGTCCTCTAAGAGCTAATATTTTTCTGGGGAAGTCAATTTTTGCTTAAAAAAAAAAAAAAAAAACAGGAAAACAAGCCACATACTTTCTCAGTGCACTTCTTCCCAGGCGGTGTTCCTCTGATTCTCGGTAGCAAGTCTGTTTGCCAATTTCCTTTTCCCAGAAGCGTTTGAGCTCGTTACAGGTGTCCCGGCAGAAGACCTCCCGGCGGACGTATTGACTGTTCATCCCCTAGAAAAGAAGGTAGCAGCTGAACCCCTGTGGATCCCGATTCCTCCGACTCTGGCATATAAAGATGTTGTTTGAATCCAGATCCTGCCATTGACATGAGGGAAACCCCAGCCAGCCTCAGAGCCTTTGAGGGTCAGTATCCTTGTCCTCACACATTGAAAACAACCATCATCTCATATCTTGTTGTCAGGACCTGGTGAGACTGTGAACTCAGAAGCTTTCCACATGCAGTGTGGCAAGTGACAGACACCTGGCAAACACCTTTGTCCTTCCTTCCTTCCTTCTCACTGAATAATGACTTCCCAACTTTTTATGAAGCATGTAATGTGTGCTGGGCATTTTAGGCACCTCAGTCATTTAACTATTGAGACAATCCCATGAGATGGACATTACCTTCCTCATTTAATACGTGAGAAATTTGAGGAGTTACAGAACTTGCCTGTGGTTCCAGCACTGCCAGAGCAGGAACTTAAGGCCAGGCAGGCTTCCTGCTTCCGAATGTTTTCCAGCCCTTTATTAAAGAGGTTAATCACAGAAAAGGAGCCCTGGTGGCACAATGGTTAAACACTCGGCAGCTAAATGGAAGGCTGACAGTTCAAACCCACCCAGTGGCTCCTAGCCATCTGCTCTCATAAAGATCACAGCCTAGAAAGCCCTAGTGGCAGTTCTACTCTGTCACATGGAATCATTCTGAGTCAAAATCTTACCCAACAACCACCACCACCACAGAAAAGGGTCCCAATGTCTGACACCCAAAGCTATTTTGAGGTGTGGATACTCGTGTGTGCATGTGCATCAGACACTCCAAAATTTTCACTTTTGAGTGTCCGGTAAGATGTTGGAAGAGGGAGAAAGACTGCATAGACCCTTTTCAATAAAGAAAAGGGGAACCAATTAACACAGACAGAAGATAATCTTGGACCCCTGAGCCTTGAAGGGAAGGATATAGAAGTGGACTAAACCCCAAATAGCAGAAGAATTTGCATGAAAATACCAAAAAATGAGATATATGGAGCTGCGGTCTGGCAGCGATCCTGAGTGATCCTGACGGCACAGACAGCTTGGAGAGTACCTAGTGGTGGTAGGACCTAAGAATTAACCTAAAAATCAGCCCTGCTAGCCAGGGACTGCACAGAGGACTGCTCTGGTGGCTGGGAAATAAAACGTGAAGCACCAGAAGAGAAAGGCAGGCTGAGCTGTGGACTTTTGCCTATCCGGAGGATGCCACCATTTTGAATGTTTACAAGCAGCTTGACCATTTTGGATATTTAAAGAAACAGCACTCTCCAAGATTCCAGGGGCTTAAGAACAGGTTCTGCTTGCCAGTAACCCAAGAACACTCCAGATGTGGATGACTGAAAAGGTGCGACTTTCCCCTTGTTACTCTTATACCCCACACCCCTTGGTGAATGGAGATGCAGCCATCCCCCACTCCCACCCACCTCCTGGGCCAGCAGGAACTCCATCCCAGTCTGCGTGCTCAGGCAGAGCCAGGGTGCCCTGTCCTACCCTCCCCTGATTTTTTCTTTCTTCCTTTTTTTTTCTCTTTCTTTTTTCTGGTATTTAGTTTACTTGTTTTTGTCTGTTTTAAAACTACTACTATTATTAATACATTTGTCCTTTTTACTGTTATTCTTTACTCTTCCCTTCCCAGGTCCTAGTTTTTAGCTTTTTCTTTTCCCTGTTCATGGTTGCATTTTTTTTTTTTTCTTTTCTCTTTTTTCTTGTGGTTAACCATGTTCCTTGTTTTTATTTTTGCATTTTTGCCATTTTCTTCTTCATTATTCTCCTTCTCTACTTTTTTTCTCTTATTGCCCTATACCCAGATATTGCAGGTTTTCTTGTTATTTTCTTCTTCTTTTTCTGGCTACTGTTCCTGTGTGATTACATGGTGTATTTTTTGTCCATGTGCTTTTAGTTTTTTGATGGTTATTCGGTTGTAATTTTTGTCTAATTGAGTGGAAGACAGCAACAGTCCCCATAAGACACAACTACACCCACACCTCCTGCAACTTCACTTACTGAGTGAAAGCCAATACCTTCTTCTCCACCAACAGGCCAATGATAAAAAACCACCAAGAAGAGCCTGAATCACCCTTGGCTGTTCTTCACAAACAGTTAACAGAAATCTTAATACAACAATGCCACAATGTCTTGGAGACAACAGACCATCACAGTGCACACAAAGAAGCAAGAGAAAGTGTAGAAACAAGGGAAAAGGATACAGATCCAGAACACATCCCTGAGAAAGAAGCAACATTGGAACTCTCTGATAAGGAATTCAAAAGAATGAT